CACAGGAGGCACAAAGGAATCGAAAGGGGACAAAGGCACAGAAGGACGAGGAGAAAACGTGGGGGCCACAAAGGAACTAGAGGACACTGAGGGACAAGGGGGAAACACAGGGGGCACAAAGGGACCAGAGGGGAGTAAAGGCACGGAGGGACATGGAGACACAGGGGGCACAAAGGGACCAACCAAAGACGAAGGCACTGAGGGACGAAGGGGAAACATGGAGAGCATGAAGGGACCAGAGGGGAGCAATGGCATGGAGGGATGAGGAGCAAACATGGAGGGCACAAAGGAACTAGAAGGGAACGACGGTGACACAGGACGGGGAGTGAACACAGGGGCCAAGGGATCCAAGGGCAGGGGGCAACAGGGAGCAGAGGGGACCTTCAGTGGGTGTGACGTAGGGCAGGTTGGGGCAACAGGCCTCTGTGGGGCCGGAACAGGGACTGAGGGTGGCAAGGATGCGGGCAAAGGGGTTGGTGGAGATGGCAAGGAGGGAGCCGCGGGTGAGGGGCCCGCTGGCTGTCAAGGGGACGCCGGCGGTCGGGCCATGGCCGGCTAACCAGGTGCCCTGAGTGAGGCTGGGGCCAACCGCCGAGATGGAACCTGGGGGTGTGAAGGGGCACCAGGGAGTCTACCCCGCCGTCGGTGTCCCCTCCCTTTCCAGGAGACCAAGAGGCGGGAACCCGGCCATGATCCACCTCGATGAGGTGCAGGTGGTTGGGGTGACCCCCTGGGGAGGTCCACAGGCACAGTCAGGGTGATCCCCGAGGGTCCCACTCCAGCTCCTCCTCCAACTCCATTGTGGAGGAAGGAGCGGGGGTCAGGCTGTCAGGGACCACCTCGGGGACTGAGACTGAGGCCGAGGGAGCAGGGATCGGGGAGACTGAGGCCGAGGGAGCAGGGACCGGGGAGACTGAGGCCGAGGGGCGTGGCACGGGTGGAGCCAGGGCTGGGACCTTGGGGGCATGGGCGGAGCCAGGACCTCGGACGTGGGTGGAGCCGCGGGCGGAGCCTGGGCCAGCTCCTCAGAAGCGGGCCCCAGAGCAGGAGCTGCGGGCGTGGAGGCCACGGGGGCCAGAGCAGGAGCCGCGGAGGCCACGGGCGCCAGAGCAGGAGCCGCCGGAACCGCGGGGAGCTGAGCAGGGAGCTCAGGATCCGCGGGGGACGCCGCTGGGGCCGCTGGAGCCGCAGGGGCTGCTGGAGCCATGGGGAGCTGAGTGGGGAGCTCAGGAGCCATGGGGTGCTGAGCGGGGAGCTGAGGGGGCTGCACAGTGGACTGGGTAGTAGCAGCACGGGCCTCGGGGACCTGAGCAGGGACCACAGGAGTCACGGGGAGCACTGTACGAGGACAACACCAACTCAATCATAAGATAAGGCGAATAGGACAAAAAAACTAAATGTAAAAACCGACAGCATGCGTAAACACTGACAGCATTCGTAAACCCCACAATGAATCGTGAAGTGTGTACCACGCTTTAAAGCCACACTGGCACTTCTGATCCCGTTGACAGAAAATGTGCCGTCCTCCATCAATATGCTAATGTTATTGGTAATTTATGTTAGGTCTGATATTAGCACTCCCGACATGCTATGTCATATTGAGTTTTGCAAATTCAATAACTAGCTAACCCCTGGGCGATGCAGTCTTACCACACTGCTAACCCATTTATGGTATGTTTGGTATATTTATTAAATTGATCAATTAAAATCAT